CCTTTTGGTGATGGGGCTGGGGGTTGCCTCAAACGTAGTTTAAAGGTTTGCCCTCCACATCATACCTGGACCAGCAGTCCTTTTTCTAATGAAACCCCTTGCGGCAGCGTGGGCACGGGACCCTGGGCTTGTCCCCCTCCACCTTGAGAGGGGCTTTCCCTTGCGGGCAGTCTCTCTTTAGGTGCCCGGGCTGGCCACATCCAAAATATCTCCAGTCCTCAGCCCTGGGGTGCCTATCCTGCAGCCCAAGGCCTGTGAGGGCTTCTCTAAAGCCTGTAGCTAGAGCCTCTGTGTCTTGAGGACCGCGGCCATAGCCTTGGTCACCTTTGTTTTGGTCCCTGTGTCCTTTGAGGCCACAGCCCAGCTGCTCATGGAATGGTCCTTTAACCCCGTGCAGGCGACCTTATGGTTGGCTGCATACCAACCATATGGTTCATACCATCCCATACTAGCATTTTTATGAACTGTTCTCTGAGCAGCCCTGTTCTCTTTAGACTCTTTTCAGCCCTATCTACAAACTCATGTAATGGCGCCCCTGAGCTTTGATGGATCCCCGATATGGGTGGCTCTGTAGGGCCCGTATCCAACTTATGCCAGGCCTTGAGGCCAAGGGCCCTGACCTTTTCCGTATATGGTGGTGGAAGTGCTGCCTGCTGGGCGCCTGTGTCAAAGGCATCCATGGTCCCTGTCAGCATGCTGAAAGTGTTGGCGGCATGGTAATTTTCCACCTGGACCCAATATTCCTCTCGGTATAGTGCCGCCCATTTAATAAACAAGGGGCTAGGGAGGACTGCCTTGGCTAGATCCATCCAGTCTTTGGCCGTACAGGGTTGATATACCAAGCCCTGGAGAAAGGTGTCGACCCAGGGGGACCCGGGGCCATCCTCGGCCACTCCCTTCTTTAATTCTTTAAGATCTTTAGCCTCCCAAGGGCACCAGGCGGCCAGACGCTGGGGTCCGGGGTTGATGTTTACAGAGAAAGCCTGGACCAGTCCCATGGGAACGAAGAGCTCGGATGGACTAGATTGCCCCCCCTACGGTCTTTCTCTCATGCTCATCCTGACCTCCTGGGGTCCCCCCTTTATCTTCCCTGTTCTCGTCACCTACCCCCCTTCCAGATCTCTCCATAGTATGCGCTTCACTTTCAGTCGTTGGTCTCTCTCCTCATCAAACGTGACCCATTGATCTTCCCCTGCGGCCTTATCCATCCAGCAAAGGCCAGTATGCCCAGGGATTGGATCGGTTTGAAAACATTACTTAAGGGCTGAGATTGTGGGGTAAAACCCCAAGGGTAGTTCCTCCCCTCTGTTGTTCTCTGCCTTGCGAGCCAGTTGTTCAAGCGGGTCCCAGGTAGAATAAATTGGCCCCACTGGAATAAATTGCTGCGGGCAGCCAGGGAGCGAAACGCAAGGCGGCCTCCCAGACCTTCTTTGATGAGGAATCAAACTGTTCTAACCTCCTGGATCTCAACATGTGTCTCAGCGCTGTGAGCACCAGGTCCTCACTTTTGCTCATTGCGTTACTCACCCAATTAGTCCCGGCAATCAGCTCCCATAGCAGGTCTGAGTGGTCTTCGAGCCCCACGTTGGGCGCCAGGTGTCGGGGATCCTGCCCTGACACAGGAGCCGGAGAAAGGGAGGTGAGCTGTCCTCCCATTACCCGCAGCCTCCCCAGGAGACAATCAGATGCAACAGGGAACCAGTCAAGCAGGAACTCGTTTATTGCAGGCTTTACAGGGCTTATGAAGGCAAAAACCACAAAGGAAAATCCCCTTCCCAACCAAGAGTCCAGTCACGTTAAAGGTCAACTTGAGCATGCAGTCTCCTCTCCATAGCACAGCATAGCGTTCACGAAGTGATCATGCACTCCAAGATGCACAGAAATGACAGGAGCCAATTAGCGATTCTTCAAAACAAGTCTGGCCACACCCCAGCCACTTCTTCTAGGCACCTTCTTGCCTTGCCCCTGGCCTCAGGCCCCCGCAGAAAGGGACTTAGCAAAAAGCTGAAATTCGCTAGAACTATATAGCTCAGTGGTAGAATGCTTGCCTAGCACACGTGAGGCCCTGGATTTGATGCCCAGTACTGCCCCCATCCCCCCAAAATCTGCAAAACTCAAAATCTCTTGTAATTTCTTGGGAGCTGGAGAGATTGCTGAGCAGTTAAGAGCACTCATTGCTCTTGAAGAAAACCGGAGTTTTCCAAGCACCCATATTGGGCAGCTGGCATTGCAACCCCCAGGGATGTTACACCTTCTTCTGGCCCCCACAGGTACACATACATACACACTAAATAAATTAATAATAAATAAATAAATAAATAAATAAATAAATAGTAGTGGACATTTATGAATACTTCACCTGTAAAATGACACTTTTTTATATACATGTCTCCCATATAGGGTTAGCTCATTCTATCTGGCATTAGTCAGCCCCAAACTGCTTTTTCTTACGTCGAAATAGTCTTTATGAAACTCTTTTAATGGGGACACACATTCACAGGGCACAACTCCCCCAGGCCTTCATCCTCACTGCTGTACCTCACCATCCAAATTATATGCCCTTCTCTACCAGCTCAGATCCTCACAAGAGAGACTCCAATACTTGGAAAGCAAGCCTGGTGTGGTCTCATTTTGGGAGAGAATGATGCAGAAGCTCCTTAGCCCACTAGTGCCTTTGTATTATTTTGAATTTGGTTATGCGGCATTGGGTGCTACTGTTAAGGTCATTGGCTATGTGCAAAAGCAGGTCGTGTCTATCCCTGACTACTGGGCTCCCTTTGAGGGCTTAGTTTGCTTGGGGGCTGGTGGGTTTCTTGGGATTCAAAGAATGTTTAGGTGTTCCTAGCTGGATCTTGGCTGGCATTGTGAGCATGAAATTCTACAACTCTGGAAAATACACTCGTGGATTTAGTCATAAGTGTGAGTTTGCTGACGGTTGCAAACTTGGAATCGTACGTATGTTGAATAGACCTATTCGTATTGAGATTTTTAAATTTCATGCATCATTTCTCTCTCAAATCCAGATCCCCTCCCCCATCCATACCTCCCCCTATCCCCTCACCGAACCCTATGCACTTTGCCATACTGAGTCCTATTCATTCAGGTTTTTGTACCCAAATGTCCTTCAGTGTAAATGCATCCACTGGAGTCTAGTCAGCCCATCCAGTGGTCATATGTACATCATACTCTTCCTCATCCAGCAGCAATCACTCTCAAATAGTTAAACTAGTGCTGGCCCACCACCTGTTTCTCACTTCCCCTTTGGCCCCTTAAGCTGACATGGGTCCCATGCTCTATGCCACCACTGCCACAGGCTCACCTGAGTAAACCTCAAGTGGCCTGATTCTTGTATGATGTTACTCTCTCCTTTCTGTACCAGTAGATAAAATTTCTTTTTTAAAAATATTTTTAATTTTTATTTTATTTTATGTATATGAATATATTGCCTGCATGTATGTAAGAGCACCTGCTTTACGCACTGCCTGATGGAAGAGGGCACTGGGTCCCCTGGAACTGTAGTTACAGATGATTGTTAGCTGCCATGTGGGTGCTGGGAATCAAACCTAGATCTTCTGCAAGAGTAGGCAGTTCTCTTAACCACTGAGCCATCTCACAGACCATAAATTTCAGTGGGAAAATGTTAGATGCCAATGTTAAGAATTCTGAAATCTCTAGGCTCTTAGAACAGTGTGGGGGAAAAAAATCTCTTTGTGAGATACATAGGATGTGTATTCTTTTTGCTGGTCATGTTTGAGCACAGATCTACTATGAAATTATGTTAAATGAAATAGCAACAAAAATAAAACTTAAATTTTTATAGATTATTTACAACTTTTGTTTCTGCCATTCCTATGAAATAAATTTTTCTCCTAAGTATAAATAGGCACTTTGATGGTTGAGAACTGGCTAGGTATTCCTTGTCAAGTTTATATTTATTTAGAGACAGGATCTCCCTTTGTAGCATAGGTTGGCCAAGCAAGGTGGCACACATCTTTAATCCCAGCACTTCAGAGGCAGAGGCAGGCAGATCTCTGTGAGCTCAAGGCCAGCCTGGTCTACATAGTGAGTTCCAGGACAGCTGAGGCTACAAAGAGACCCTGTCTCAAAAAGACCAAAAAAAAAGAAGAAGAAGAAGAAGAAAAAAAAAAAGAATATTAAACAAATATGTATTCGAGGGTTGAGATACAGTAAAAATTTTATTTTCCACTGCTTTATCAAGGACACCCATAAGTAAAAGCATCTTTAAAAAAAAATCATGACTGCATAGTGGTCAGAACAGTGACTGTTATTAGAAGTGAATTGTTTAGTTTACCTCTGCTTTGATTTGTGCCTAAGACACAATGTCGTTTTATCACAATTGCTTTTGCATTTTTAAGTGGACTTGTCAACAAAGTACAAAGGGAAATAATATGTTGATATTATTTTGAAAGTATTTTGTTAATTTCCTGAGAGGATCTTGTGTCCCTCCCCGAACACCTAATGCAACACATTTTAGAAACCACTGCTATAGAAAATGTTCTTAATTCTTAATTATAATATGTTGATTATTTAAAATATGCTTGTGTTTTGATGTGTTGAGGTTGACTCTTGCTATGTAACTCCGACTGTCTTGGAATTTACTATGTAGGTTGGCCTCAAACTCATTGACACCTCTTGCCTGTGCCTTCCCAGTACTGTGATGAGAGGTGTGTGTCATTGCTTTTGACTTGATTGTTTACATTTGTTGGTTTTCCTGGTTGGGGTGGCATGAAGACAGTAGTCACATGCAGCAGTATTATTGCATGTATAGTTAATCAAAGACCATTAAAATCTAGTTAGTGTCATTGGCCTCTTTGGTGACTCTGTACAGTCAGTGACTGTACAATCATGAGAGTTACAGATTAATTTATAGAGAATATTTATATTGTAAGATGTATAAAACAGGAACTTTATTCTATTGACATGTTATTTTGGACTGTTAAGTTAAATTTTTCTGGTCATGCTCTCTGTTTTGTTTTTAGGCTTGCATTGATGACAATGTTGATATGGTGAAGTTTCTGGTAGAAAATGGAGCAAATATTAATCAACCTGATAATGAAGGCTGGATACCACTACATGCAGCTGCTTCCTGTGGATATCTTGATATTGCAGAGTAAGCCAGTTCTGATTTTAGTTTTATTCTAATATTAAAACCTGAGATTCTATATAAATCATTGTTAATTATTAATTATATTAACCTTAATTCCTGAAAATTCTTACCAGGAAAGAAAATAAGTTATTCTTGAACCATCCAGATATTGAATTGCTCACTGTTACATCTTTTTTCCCTATTGTTTGAACCTTTGGGATTTTGCACTAAAATCAGTAATTACACATTCACCATCTCCTTTGGAGTACAGCTATAATCTGACTGAATGATGCAGGGTTAATATTTAGCAGTCCTGTCCTATATAATCATGAATTGAGAGGAGAAATGAAAAATCTCAGTTGAATTACATTACTATTGGGAGAGTGATACATAGTTCTCCAATTAGTTTCCTTCCTTAGTTTAAGATCATTTTCTGTAAGTATACCTTGTAGAACATTTAGTGAGTTCCCAACTACCTTTTATATTGAGTACTTTCTTCACACACTTAATATGGAAGTAAAAATATATTGAAAATGTTTTCACTAAATTAGTTTTTATTACTATGTATCCATACTACAAACCATTTAATTGCCTCTTTGTTCATAATCAAAGCTTACCAATTACTCAGTACTGATTATTAGAATTCTTCTTTGTGTAGTAGCTCCGGCTTATCCCTTGGGGATTTTTTTCCAAGATCCCCAATGAATGCTTGATAATCTCACAGGTAATACCAAATTGTCTTTTCCTGTGCATACATATTTATGATAAAGTTTCATCTGTAACTTAAGCACAGTAAAGATTAATAATATTGGACTGGAAAGATGCCTCAGTGATTAAGAGCACTGGCTGCTCTTGCAGAGAACCCAGGTTCAGTTCCTAGCACCCACATGAGAGCTAAGAACTGTCTATAACTCCAGTTCCAGGAGATCCGACACTCTGTTCTGACCTCCTTGGGCATTGTACTGCACAGGTGCACTTACATATATACAGGCAATACACTGATACACATAAAATAAAAATAATAAATTGTTTTTTAAAAGATTAACAGTAATAACTAGTAAAATAGGACAATTTATAATATGCTTTTAACAAGAGATGTATGAAAGAAAAATTAATATTTTTAGACATGGTTGGCAGCAATTGCTTAAAACTTCAGAAAGAAAAATTGTAGATAATTCTAAATATATTTTAGTATGCATTCATAGTTTTATCCCTGTACATGTTGCTGTTTTCTCCATGTAAGGGAGATTGGCTACATTTATTTCAGGGGGAAATAATGTACAATATAATGAAAGTGCTATGGCCAAGAAATAGGAAGATCTGCATACTTGAGCTTTACTCCAGGTTTGCCACTAACTGTACTATATCTTTTTAGAGGTTTGTTTCCTTTTCTGAGAGTTAAGTTTTTGTATATAAACTGAGGAAGTCCTATGTATGTATATATTTGTCTCTGTGTGTATGGTGTTCTCATGTGACTACAGATGTGTGTGCATGCATGTGGAAGCCAGAGGACAACTTCTGATGTTGCTCTTCAGTGATGTCTATTACATTTTTGATAATAGGGCCACTGGCTAGTCAGCAAGCTTAGGATCCACCCATCTCCACATCCCCGGCCTTGGGATTGGAGTCACAGGCCACCACTCCTCATTTTGTGGTTGTGGTTTTTTCGGGTTTGGGTTTTTGTTTTTTGTTGTTGTTGTTGTTGTTGTTGTTGTTGTTGTTGTTGTTGTTGACAGGGTTTCCCTATAGCCCCAGCTAGCCTAGAACTTGCTTTGTAGAACTTGCTGACCTTAATCTCACAGAGATCTCCCTGTCTCTGCCTTCTGATTGTTAGAATTATTAAAGGTATGTGTCACCATGCCCAGCCCCCAGATATTTTATTTTTAAATTTGTGTTTTGGGGACCAAACTCACGTCCTCATGCTTATGAGGCAGGTAGCTATCTCCTAAACTCCAACTGAAGAAATAATTTTGCTACTGCTTAACAATATTAGCTATTCAGAATTAAAATAATGATTCTTAAGGGTTTCTTTTGCCACCTTATTTTTATACTGCATAGGGGATTTGGCTCTCTTCATAGACAAATTACTTCAGGGTTCATTTTTCTTACTAACTTACTTAGGTACTCTGACTTTGAGTCAGCTGATATTCTTGGAAGGTTAACTTTTCTAGTTTCCGTTTTCTCCTCTATAAAATTTAAAATGGCTTAAAGAGCAAAGACATTTTACTTGTGATAATACTTAATTCAGAGGAATGACATTCAGGCTTATTAATTGATTAGTAATACCATCAAGGACTTGGGGCCTTTTAGGCTTTTTTTCTTCTATGATAGTTACAATTCTTTCCTAGTTACCTATTTTCTTCTTAGCTATGTCTCCTCTTATTTACAAGATGATTGCCACAATTAAAAAATGAGGTTTTGAGCTAAATTTAAAATGAGTCAAAGGTAAAAACAAAAAATCTTCATATTCCCCAGAAAGCCCTCTGATGCTATATACTTCCTCTAAAGAGACTCTGTTTGGTCAGTTATTCATGTAGCTAAGAAAAGCCAATACTGCCCGGCGTGGAGGTGCATGCTTTTAATCCCAGCACTTGGGAGGCAGAAGCAGGCCTACCTCAGTGAGATCGAGGCCAGCCTAGACTACATAGTGTTCCAGGCCAGCTGGGGCTATAGAGAGACCTTGTCTGAAAAGAGGGGCAGGGAGGGGGAGAGGGAGGAGAGAGAAGAGAGAGAGAGATCAATACCTAGATTATTTCTCCTTTTTTACATGTCAGTAAATTTATAAGTATGAGGAAGGGTACTTTGTTAACAGTTGTTACTATGATCAGTGGGTAACTATGACCTTCAGTATTTTGAAGGATAAGATAATAGTATATGTGCTTTATGGGACTTGTACAAACATTGTCCTGTTAGGATGACAGGGACTTGGAGTTTTGTCATTCTAACTACCTAGAGAAGGTAGTTAGCATTTATGGCTTGTATGATGAGATAGTTTGAATTTATGGCTATTTGTATACTGAAGTTATTTCTATAGCAAGTCAGATAAAAATTTGAATGATATGATTTGCCTTTTCATTCTTGCCACTATCTTGATTCTTTTTTTTTTTTTAAATACAGTGGTTTTTCTTTAAATGATACAGTTTAGCAATATATTTAATTATTTGGCAAAGTAATGACATTTTTTCACAATGTCTAGTTATACTTTCATCAGTGTAATCTCTTCCAGCAGTTAATTTTACTAATGAGTGTAAGAAGTCAATGAACCCTATTTTTAGGGTATAGAAAAATATATCATGGCAGCTTAAGAGATAAGGTGAATCAGGGAACAGAGCATTTTATAGGAGTGATTAAAGCCCCTATTAATAATGACATAACAGCTATGAATCGGTTCTTACCTAGGAGAGGCAGAGCATCTGATCACTGTGCTAAGTGAAATATGTTGTAGTTAAATTAGTTTCGTATCCATGTTCTATCATTTGCTATCTTTGTGCCCTAGAGCCAAAGTAGTTAGCTTCCATGATGTAAGATTACATACTTTATGGGGGCCAGAGAAATGACTCATCAGTTAAGAGCACTGGCTGCTCTTGCAAAGGACCTGGGTTTGATTGCCAGCACCTACATGGCGGCCAATAACTGTCCGTAACTCCAGTTCTAGAGAATCCGATGCCCTCTTCTGACCTCCACAAGCATTGCACAACACGAGTGCTTACGCACATGCAGGCAGTACACTCACACATAAAATAAAAATATAAATAAAAATATATTTAGAGGGCTGGAGAGATGGCTCATCAGTTAAGAACACTGGTTGTTCTTGCAGAAGACCTGGTTTCGAATCCCAGCACCCACATGGCAGCCAACAACTGTCTATAACTCCAGTCCCAGGGGATCCGACAGCCTCTTCTGACTTCTGTGGGCATTGCATGACACGGGTGCACTTACCTACATGCAGGCAATACACACATACATACAAAGAAATAATAAATAAATAGTTTTTTAAAAGATTACTTACTTATAAAATGGGAATGAAACAGCTTCTTCCTCTTAATTCTCATCCTGTATCCCTCTTTACATTTTCATTCTCTCAGTACTTCACTACATTTACTTCACAGCATTCCCTGCTTGTTACATTATCAGGTCTTTACTAATAGTGCTTTATTTGCTTTCCTGCATTACTTACTTGACCAGCTCCTATCATACGCTCAAGATACAGTTTGTGTGTTACTTCAAATTTAGAAAACTTCAGGTGTTTTTTGTCTGGTTTTTCATGGTCTCTAACATGCCAGTTACTGAAGTTCTTCTTCACTAACTACATTATGCCCAGAATAGTATTAATTGATGTCCATTGACATGAATAACCAAGGCTAGATTTGTTTACTCTGAAGATTTGGACGATTGAATAATTCTAAATTTTTGACATATTAGAGGTAGTGGAAAGAATTTGAGGTTAAAATTTTGTTTCTAGAAATTACCAGTTTTACATCTTGTTTGTAACCTAGAAGAAGCCAAGTGGATAGATGAATGATACCTCTTCATGTTCTAACTCAGCTATCTGTTCTTCTTATCAAAATAATTACGGTCAAGTTATCTTCACTCGAAAAGATCTCTGTATCAGGATATGATAGCCCTAGCAAACTAATTCAGGCAATTTAAAAGTGTTGTAGCAAGTTATACTTGGCTATACTTGAAATACTTCTGGCTGCAGTCATTTCAGATTAAAGATACTAAGCCCATGTTACAAAAGACAAATGACTTCAGAGCCTAGTAAACTACTTGTGCAATTTATTCCTACCTACAACTGTCATTTAATTATAACTCTGTAACTATAAATTAAGAC